CTGTCCCACACTAAGTAGACATAACATCTATTAGTAATAGTGAGAGCCTATCTATAAGATAGAAGAAAACGCACTGCATGGTGATCCTGAAGTATATTATTTACAACGAGATTGAGTAATTGTAAAAATATCATCAACAGACGTTGGTTGAACACCTACGTCACGATTATACCTACCAGGAGCCTGATCGTGACAGCGCTAATAGCATGGCCGCTGGGTATGCTGCCCGAGAAAAAAGCATCCAATTTTTTTTACTATACCAGTTCACCCACAGGTATCCCCACAATCCAGTAAGATTACGACTCCAGCAAAATTGATAAATTTTCTTTACGCAGCTATGGTAGATTTCAGCAGAGTTCCAGAAAATATTCTTGGTAACTGGCGTGAGTGGATGCATATTCGCATGCCTTTTCACTACGTCTAAGAGTTCTTTGATAATGTTTTCTGGGCAGAGGGCCCTAATGTTTCTATTCGGTATTCAGGAAGGATCAATGAACTCAAATTGTTGGTGAACTTCTGAAGCTACTGCTATAGTATATGTACTTGCTCTTGATTTTTTGTCTATCAACCTTCTTTTGATAGCATGCTCGAGGTACCAATAATATAGCTGAAGTTTAGTTGTACACGATTATGCTTCGTTCATGGCTGAAATCTTCCCAGTATCTTTGTCAACCAAACAAAATACTGGTAATAGACCTACTTCCCGAAGACTGGTAAAAAATTCACAAAGAACTTGTACTCTTGTGTTGATTTTGTTCTCAGATTTATAACGCGCTTGTTCAGTACCATCTTGTGTTAAAGATATAAGTATGCTAAGGGCATATTATACCCACTGTAATTGACATTTACGACAAAGAGCTTGAAACGCTCTTGATTTGTTTTAAATGTGGAATTCACAACAATTTCTTTCATGTTTTCAGTGCCAATACGGTTGAATAATGGCATCATAAATCCAAGAGCCTTCACAAAGTCATTTTCAATATAGCAAAGGATTTTAAATCCTTTTTTCACAGATTCAGATTTTTCAAGATACAACTTTGTTGATAAGAGCTAGTTCTCTGAATTCATTATATAAGTTTCTTTACTGAAGACAGATGTCCAGTAGTACACCTGTTCTCTCGTGTGTATCTAAGAATCGATATACCCCTCATTGCAAAGACGTCTATAAAGCTCGTAATTTCGAATATTGTATTTAATATTTTCTTTAATCCACACTTTTGCTTCCGTAGGAAACTGAACTCTTCGATGTTGTGGATGTGGATAAGCTTCTAGATGTTGAACTTGGACCAGGACGCGCTGTTGTTGAGGATTGATAGTAAGTGTAATATTTCCTTCACAAATATATCAGTTTATCAGAGTTCTAGCTTCATTCATCCGCTTTAATGGCTGGTTTTCAGATCTTATCTATTGGCGATTCTCTTGCTGTGTGCACCTAAAGTATACTATTACGCAATCAGTAAATCTCCTCTGTCTGTAATTTAGATGTATCTTGCGTATTTCCCAGTAATAATGAGATCCAGACTTGATTGCGAAAAGAATAATTTTTGCGAGTTGATGGAAGTTGTTTTTAATTGCTACTAGATCAAGCGTTTTCAACTGAAGATCACAAGAAACACTTTTAGCAAGTTGTGGATCTAGTTCAATTTCAAAAATCAATCTCATGAGTTCATTATTATTTTTTAAATTTTGGAATTTTCTATTAATATATTCTTCTATCTCATCTAAGCTATAGAGAAGACCACCAAAATTATCATTATATCAGTCACTATCTGAATTATTATTCTGCAAGCCATCCATTTCTTGCTCTTCAGTGATATTGTCTTGTTCAGAGAGCAGCTCTTCTATGTTGGTGTTGGTTTGGAAAACATTAGCACTATTTGAAGTGCTGCTACTTGAAACGACTTCATTCAGATCAGTCACGAATTTAGCTTTTTTTCTTAATATTGGATTTTTATTAATTTCATTTTTTTATTCTTGCATCTTTCGTAGCATCGATTACAGGTTGCATGCTTGTATATTGGATTATTACCATGCAGACAGCAGAAATCTATCACCATCTTCACACAATAATAACTGGTGCATATTTTGGTTTCAGAGATTTGAACTATCAGGAAAAATGAAATACAATTTTTTATTTACGTTTATGCAGTCTCATTATTATCAATTGGGCATTTTACCTTCAGAATTGTTTCTTCTCATTCCATTTTTTAATAAAGTCATTAGGTTGAAATTATATGATTTGACAAAACTACTACAAAAGCTTAATGCTAACGCATTTTTGTTATAGAGATTCACGTCCAAGTGGATTACCCCTTGTGTATATTTGCAATCTGCGATCTCCTTTTCACTGGCAGTTTTTGGTGAAGATCTATATTATAAGTCTTAGCTCCAAGGTACTATATGAGGATGGGGTATTTATTACACTAAATGCGACAATAACATCAAAAAAGTCAAAGGGTTCTTGAGTAACTTAATTTTCATTTGCAATCGCTATTTTTTAAGAGGTCTGCATTTTTACATTATGCTTTATTCTGATGTTAGCTGCATTGCAATTTTGAGGACTTCAAATCAATCATCTCTTTGTTTGTGACGCTCCATCATTTTCTTCGCAGCAATAGCATTGATTGCATTAGCAGATAATGATATGTAACACATCATGTGCCAATTCAAAATCTAATAAAGATGTGTGTATCGTATTATTAACCTAAAATCTAATAAAGATGATAATTTCTTTTATTTGTTTCATATTTACAATCATAGTGTTAACTTCAATCTATTTAGATAATAAACGGACGATTCGGGACATGGAGTTATTTGGGTGCTTTTGTTCAAAGTTGCGTGTTAAAGGTGGATGAATATTTTTATTTGTTTTATGTTTACAATTATAGCGTTAACCTGAATCTATTTAGATAATAAACGGATGCTTCAAAGCATAGAGTTATTTGGGTGCTTTCGTTCAGAGTTGCGTGTTAAAGATGGGTGAATTTTTTTTATTTGTTTTATCTTTATAATCATAACGTTAACCTGAATCTATGTAGATGATCAATGGATGCTTCGGAGCATAGAGTTATTTGGGTGCTTTCGTTCGGAGTTGCATGTTAAAGGTGGGTGAATTTTTTTATTTGTTTCATCTTTAATCATAGCGTTAACCTGAATCTTTTCTTTAGGTGATAAATGGATTAGGTACATGGAGTTATCTGCGACTTTATTCAAAACTTACTTTTAGAATCACGTAAATGATAAAAGAATTCAGTTTGTAATGGAAGAGATCTCACCTTTTTACATAAATATTTAATAAAATATGTTATAGTCAAGTTAATCTATATATTAGTTATATTAAAGTAAAATAATGTTATATTAAATGATTTTTAAATTTTCTTGTATTTATTTAAATCACATGACCTGACACATTTTCTTTTAATCACATGATCCGACATTTTATTTTAGTCAGACGTATGGATTCGAAGATCGGATATGATCAGCATCGGTCGTAATCACGTGATTCGACACTTTTTTTCGCCGTGGCTAGGGTATTAATACCAAATGGTAGTGAATGTTTGTGAAAAAATTTTGGTGCATTTTATTGAGAAATTAAATCGGAAAAATGAGTTTTGATTAGTTTCAAAAATATTGCACCATAAAATTTTTTTAAAAAACTACTTAGATTTAAAAAATTTTTAAGGCAATGCAAATGTATTCAAATTCATATTAAAAATTCTTGATAGTTACGAGATATTGCATGTCAAAATTTTTATATTGAATGGTGTCATAATTTTGGATGTCACTGTATCTCTTTCATTATTGTTATATTTATTAATTTAACCATTACTTTTTATTTATTGTATTATAAAAGCGTGTTTTTAGAGTAAATAAGGAAAAAAGCAATAATATAATATCATTTTTGTTACCTTCTGATCCTAGAAATTGGTAATGTAGTTCATACTTTATCATGTATGTTTGCGAAATTGTCGTTTACTTACTATCGCAATGTTTATAGCATTAACATTAAACTAGAATTTTGAAATTACATTAAAGCAAAATTCAATTATTTTCTATGACTATTAATAATATTCGTTAATATTATGCCTGTTTACTTGTAGTCAGACTAACTGACTGATTGTACGTCGTATGGTGCATAACATCTAAAGTCATCAAACGTTTGCGTTTTATAAAATGTATAAACATCTTTACTAAGAAGTAAATATAAAATTTAATCCGTGAATATGCTCAGAAAGGGCCTATTCTATCATATTCACGGATTAAATTTTGTATTTGCTTCTTTGTAAAGATGTTTATACATTTTGTAAAATACAAACGTTTGATGACTTTAGATGTTATGCACCATACCATTAACGCTAACGCTAATTTAATTCATCATTATCTGTTGCAAATGTAATAATTGTTGAGGTTCATTTCATCAGATTTAGTAACAGTAATATGGTGCATGACATCTAAAGTCATCAAAAGTTTGTATTTTATAAAATGTATAAACTTCTCAACTAAAATTTAATCCGTGATTATGCTCTATTCTTTCATATTCACGGATTAATTTTGTATTTACTCCTTAATTGAGAAGGTATACCTTTTATAAAATACAAACGTTTGATGACTTTAGATGTTACCATAGATTACGTATGGGTGTTTTTCTGTCACACTAATGAACTTTCTTTTCCTGCTCCACGATAAGTGTTTGTAATATTTGCTTGCTTGAATTTGTTATCCTTTCCAATATTGTTAGTTTGGTATCACAATTCTGGTGTATCACCACTTTTTCAGCTTCAAACCGGTTTTGTTCTGGTCCTATCGCTATATCATGCTACCATTCTCACGTTGTTTATCGCTATCGTTATGTCTAAATATACAGGAAATCTTATCAAAGATTTAACCGAACTTTTAGAAAACTCGGACGAATATAATATTACTATCCTCGCAGGTGAAAATGATAACTTGAAAAAGTTTCAAGCGCATTCTTTCATTCTGCGTGCACGTTCTCCGTATTTTCGTCGTGCGTTATCAAAAGTTTGGGCAAAGAAAGAAGGTGAAATGATGGTTTTTAAAAAACCAAATATTTCACCGCAAATTTTTAAACTTATACTCAAGTATGCGCATGATTTTATTTTATTTTCATAATTCATGATCTAATGAATTGATGTATTCTATATAGATATTTATACACAAGCATGATAGATCTCGATGAAGAAAGTGGAGACGATGTTTTAGGTTTACTCATCGCTGCAGATGAATTAGAAATTCACGAATTAATTTATGACGCGCAAGACAATTTAATTAAACAAAAGTTTACGTGGATTCAACAAAATTTCGCGACGGTTATGCATACCGCTTCGCTGCACGAATTCAAGAGATTAAACGAGCATTGTCTTAAAGTAATTGACGAAGAACCATCTAGTGTTTTTAGATCTAGTGATTTTTTATCTCTGGATGAATCAGTACTTGTGTCTTTGCTTAAACGCGATGATCTAGCCATGGATGAAATTGAAATCTGGAATTCGATTATCAGATGGGGTACGGGTAATACTTTAAATTTAGCCAACCAACCTGTATCAAATTGGACGCTTGAAGGTTTCGCCGCTCTAGAAAAAACTCTTCATCAGTGTATTCCATTGATCCGATACAGTGATATTTCGAGCAATGATTACTTCGAAAAAGTAAGGCCTTATCGGAAAATTATTCCAAAGGATATAAAAACGGAGATTTTGAGTTATTATCTTAAAAATTCGACTCCGCAACCTATTAAAGTTTTATCTCCACGATCAGGCTCGGTTGACTCTAAAATTATTGATCCTAAGCAAGCTAATTTAATTTCATCTTGGATTGATAAAAAGGATAACATCGATTCTTTTAATCAATATCACAAATCGCAATATAAATTCAAACTTCTTTATCGCGGTAGCCGTGACGGTTTTGAAGCTACGAAATTCCGGGAGCTTTGTGGATCTCAAACAGGAACCGTGGTAGTTGTGAAAATAAACCAAACTGGAAAAATTATTGGCGGCTATAATCCTAGCAATTGGGGTGGAAATATCAGTAACAATCTTAATTTGGATGAGAATACCATCATCACTCGCCGTCGTTTTGAGAGGCGTATTGCTAGGCGGACTTATATTAATGCGCCTAATGCATTTATATTTTCTTTCGATGACAAAAGTAATCTTCTAAGTGCAAAAATTTCACGCAATGATATAGGCAATCAAATAGCATACAACCTTTATCAGGCTAATCATGGTCCCTATTTTAATGACGATTTATATATCAGCGACAAATGTAATCAAAATATGTCGAGTTGGTATCAATATTCTTACTATAGCACTCAGGGTTTATGGGATAAAACAGTTCGAGCTACTTTCGACTTACCAGATCAGCATACTTTTAAAGTAGATGAATATGAAGTATTTCAAATTTCAAAAAAAAGATTAGGTGAAGTAAAAGAACAATTTTAGCTTAGATTATGTTTCTTTTTACATTATTTTTTTTATTTTTCACTTAATTGTTTGTTAGCAATATGGGAACAGTCAACCTTGCAACTTTTGGATATTGAAAGTGTTCATAGATTAAATTTACCATTTAAATTCAGAATCTGCTTGAGCCGATTGTTTTGATCGAGAAATTTATAACACACATACCGATACAAACTTATTTTATATACTGTAAAACCTCGGGTGCATACTCATTATATAATTCTCTCTAAATGCTTGGTTCCAAGTTATAAGACATACAGAGAATTCTTCATAAATGCACCCTCTATAAATGCACACATTAAATATATCATCCATAAATGCACACTGTTTTTCACTATCGTCCCCGGGGGGGGGGGGGTAAAGTGATAATAAAATATGCTAGCTAAGTTAGTATTTGTACAAAACTCATATGACAAAACAATATCTTACATGTGTTCTATGAATGAAAATTATTAAATCTATTCAACGATAATGCATTTTTCTAAATAATTATACATTTAAATGTTTTAGTTTATAGTGAGTACATTATAAATTAATATAGATTTTTTATAAATTGAATTTGACTATTTATTATAATAAACTATAAGGTTTTATATGAAGTATGGTATTGTAATGAACTTCACTAACATATACTCAAAATATAAATTTATATAAATTTAAACATGCTAGCTTTGAGTATTTTATATTTGTAAAATCTGAAATATTCAAAATTAGCATATATAAATTTATAGTTTGAGTATATATGGGTGGAATTGATCACAATATCATACTTTGTTATATGATGCATAACATCTAAGTCATCAAACATTTGTATTTTGTAAAACGTATAAACTTCTCAATTAAGAAATAATTACAAAATTTAATCCGTGTATATAATAGAATAAGCCCTTTCTGAGCATATTCATGGATTAAATTTGTATTTACTTCTTAGTTAAGAAATTTAAACCTTTTACAAAATACAAACGTTTGATGACTTAGATGTTATGCACCATAATATTTAAATCTATCTTATATTGATATAATCACCAATTTTGAAATTGCAGATCTACTAATAATTGATTTAACAAATTATAGCTCTTTTTTTATGTAATTTATATTGTAATTATTTTTAACCAATAAAATTTATTATAAATCATTCAAAAATGCTTTATTGATAAATTTTTTAATAAAATATAGTAAAAATGAGATTTTACTAAATTTTAAAATTTTTTTTTATTAAAAAATTTGTTAAAATAAAGCCTTTTTTAAATGATATTTATTAAATAAAAATGAGCAAAATTTTTTTAACAATTACAGATATATTCTCTATATTATGAAATATATTTTCCTAAAATTATTTTCAAAATTGCTTAATAAAAATATTTTTAAATGATTTTTTATTCGAACTTGAATAATAAAAATTTTAATTTATCACTTTTGCCACAAAATTTTACTATATTAATATACTTTGTGATATTATAAATACTTGTTTCTAGTATTTCAAATAATATATCTACAAATTTTCATAATTTTTGAATGATTTTCATTAAGATATAAGCAAAAAATTTGTCTGTTATTACTTTTTTTTATCAGGAATTTTTTATTTTATATAAGTATTAACTTGTTTATTAATATATATTATATTAATCATAATTAATACAACAAAAAATTTTCATTATAAATTTTATTTATTAATATTATTATTTTTAGATAAAAAATTAAATATAAGTTAATAATTCTGCAAATTATACACTTATTCGAAATGTATTTTTTGTATTATTTTTTTTCTTTTTGAATATAACTTAAATATAACATATAGTAATAACCAAAAATAATATAATAATATTAAAATTTATTAATTAAATAGTAAATATATGTTTTTTTATATAGAAGTATTTAATTTTACTAATAAATATTTTTTAATTTTATATTAAAATAAAATAATATTATATATTTTAATATATATTTTTAGATTTAATTTAATAAAGTTATTTTAATTACATATAAAGTTAATTATTTTTTTATATATTTTAATTATAAAAAATAATAATTTTATATACAATTAGAAATATTTGTTAAAATATGTTATATTATTTTTATTCTGATATAAAAATAAAAATATTTATTTGTAAAATTGAAAATTTTTACATAAAGAAAAAATATATATAATTTGGTGCAAAAATATTAATATATAAAAAATAAAAATTAATAATTATTTCTAATAAAAGTTATACAATATATAATTAGTATTTATAATTTTTTATATTAAGTAAAGTATATTTTAATATAACTTTTTATATTATTTTTAATACTTTAATTTAAGAATAAATAAGACAAAACTTTTCACTTTTGAACAATAAAATTTGCAATTTTCAAAAATTAAAAATAGTTTTTAGATATTATCATTATAAATTTTTATTTTTAGAAATTTATATTCAGCAAGTATATTAATATATATATATAATAAATATATATTTCAAATTTTAGCAAAATTGGATCACTAGTTATTGAAAAATTAAGCTTTAAAATTTAAAAATTTAATTTTTTTCATTATATAAATTTATAAAAAATATTTATAAGTTATTATATAAAAAAATTAAAATAATTAATATGAAAAAGTTATTGAATAATAAAATTTATTATTTTTATTTATATATAATAAAAAAATTATATAATATATTAATTATAATTTAAATATTATATTTAATAAAAAAAATTAAAAAATTAAAAATAAAAATTTTTTATTAATAACAAAGTAATATATTTATATTTTTGTATCAAATTATATTAAATTACTTTATAACTAATAATTTAATTTTGCTAAACTTTGAAATATATATTTATTATAATTAATATATTTGCTAAGTATAAATTTCTAAAAATAGAAATTTTTAAAAATTACAAA